TTATCTGAGATTGAACATGTGACCCGACCACTGCTGCCAGTGTCCAGGTCATAAATATTAATGAGCGCGACCATAGTCCCTGGTTTGGAATCCTCAGCCAATTTAGCTGAGGCTGATTTTATTTCTATCACTGGGTCATTATCGTTCACATCAATAACATCAATTATAAGTTTGCAGTGAGAGGCTTGACCGCCACCATCTTTGGCCTGAACGTCCAGTTCATGGGAACTTGATTCTTCATAGTCAATAACACCTGCTACCCGAACTTCCCCATTCAGGGGGTTGAGTTCAATAACCCCTCCCACCTTGTCTGACAGGTGGGTGAAAGAATAAGTTATTTCTCCGTAGATCCCCTCATCCAAGTCTGTGGCATTCAGGGTTGTGATGACAGTCCCGAGAGGTGAGTTCTCCAACACAGACACTTTGTAGACCCTTTGGTTGAAAACTGGGACGTTATCATTGGCGTCCAAAACACGGATGTGGATAGAAGCAGTTCCAGATCTGACTGGATTTCCGCCATCAATCCCACTCATTTCCAGCATATGTTCAGCTTCTGCCTCCCGATCCAAGGATTTTTTAAGAACAAGCTCGGGATAAGCATTGCCATTGATTTGGGTGCTCATTTCTAGTGCAAAATGTTCATTCTGGCTCAGTTTATATTCACGGACAGAGTTCGTGCCCAAATCGGGGTCATGCGCGCTTTCTAAGGGAAACCGCCTTCCCAGAACTGTAGACTCCACCAAATCCAGTTTGATTTCTCCTGTAGCAAAGGCTGGGCTGTTGTCGTTTATATCGGCAATGTCCAACACCAAGCTGAATGCTTGAAGCGGATCTTCGAGTAAAAGCTGGAACTGCAGAATACAGATGTGGGCTTGCGCGCACAGTTCCTCCCGGTCTATCCGTTGGCTGATGAGGAGATTACCGGAGGCAGTGTCTAGTTCACAGTGCTGGCTGGTTCCTTCTGCAACAACCCGGGCTCGACGGGCATGAAGCTCGGACAGCTGCAGCCCCAGATCCCGTGCCACATTCCCAATAACCGAGCCCCTCTGCATCTCCTCTGGAAGAACATAACGGACCTCTCCAACAGAAACGGAAAAAAGGAGAGTGCAGAGAAAAAAATCAGTCCACCATTTTAACTTCACTCGGTGATCCATCATACAACATCCTCCCCAAAAAATAGATGCAGTCGACATGATCTTTAAATCCAACTATGGAGCAGAAAATGCAGCAAACATCCGACGTTTCTCTGCTCTTCTTGCTGATTTATTCATGCTCTGTTAGGGAGGCTGTCAGCTTCAATTCCTCTGCCTCCTTTCCCATTCCACCACTGTTTCTCTCTCTATGACTCACACACTCGCGCAGGCACGCAGCCGCTCTCCCCCCCTCTCACTCTGTCCCTCATCCATTGGCACAAATGCGCATCCATGCAAAACTCTCTGCTGCTCCAGTTCTACTGACACAGATAGAGAGGCGGACACATCCAACAGTCAGGCACTATATGAGAGCGTCACCAAGAGATGGAGACTTTTATTGCAGCTTATTTTTATATATTTTTATTATTTTTACAAATATTTGACTGAAATAACAGAACTAAAAAAACATTTTATAAAACCAAAAAAAGTTTGTGTTTGAT